CCTGAGAACCTGTACAAAAAGAGACTCTTCTAGTGCTGCGTTAGATCTGAATCTGAAATATTCTACAAGAATTAAAAGCAGTTTTTTCTCTATTCAGGCTCACTTTCACCATAGCAGGATTACGCAGGACATTAGGATGCAGGTAGCTGTTATGTACATATAAAGCACGTACATTAAATGTGGAATTCAAAAGGAGATAGGTACATTGATTATAACTAGCCATGCCAATTGAATTTAATCAATTTTGAACATCTATTGAACTATGCCATTTTATTCCATGGCCCTATCCTTATATACTTTATACATTAATGGTACTGTTTTGGAATAGTAGCCTAAGTCCAACCATCTATGATGTTATTTGATCACTAATACATGTCACAAACTGTGCAGGATAAGGAGAGACAGCATGCACACATTGGGATTATGGTGGAATATGGAATTGCCTTGATGAGTAAACTGGATGGCATCAACCGACATTCCTTTAACAATTTCCGGTTACGTATTGGTAAGTTGTCAAGAGCACCAGCCTTTCATCTTCATAAAAATTAAAAATGAAGTATTTAGCAAGTGGAGCATTCCATAACACTCAACACTGAATGCAGTAGTTAGGTGCTTATAAAATGCTGAACATTTGAAGGTAGTGTTGTCTAGTCTAGCTTTTTTAATATGCCAAGCTAATTGAGGAATGCCTTTTTCTAATCACTGGAAGGAGCAATAGGAGGACTTCAGCTTGGATCAGTTTGGAGAAAACTACAGGTACAGGTGAAGAGGGAGTTACCTGGTAATTAAAGACAGCGTTATCATTATACAAATGTTTTTTTCTATATATTAAGGCTAGAAGTTTTGCTTTGGCATGAGCTCTACCCTAGACTTTTCATTATACAGTGAATAAGTAATTTCACATCTCCCAAGCCTAAGTCCCACTCAGTACTAGATCAGTGGAAATACTGCTAGAAAGGCACAGCAAAGTCACTGTGGTGCAGTTTTCCATTTTTGTCTTTTGTCGAGACTGACAATTTATAGCTAATAATGAAGGTAGATACCAAATAATTTTCTACTGCAATAATGACACCTGCTTTTATTTATAAAGGGATAAATCATGGTCCTGTGATTGCTGGTGTAATTGGTGCCCGGAAGCCTCAATATGATATCTGGGGTAACACCGTTAATGTTGCCAGCAGGATGGAGAGTACAGGGGAGCTTGGGAAAATCCAGGTAAATAAATGTATAAGCTTTGGAAATTCTAAGAAATTATTTCTAATTGGTTATGGATTTTTTTTTTTTCTTTGAATAATCTGTAGTATTTCAAGAGTTGTCTAATTCTTTTCACATAAAGGTCACAGAAGAAACGAGTAGAATACTGCAGGACCTGGGATATTCGTGTGAATGTAGGGGACTCATTAATGTCAAAGGAAAGGGAGAACTGAGGACTTACTTTGTTTGCACCGAGACAGCCAAATTCCAAGCTATTGGACTGAACTGAGGCTAAGACAAAGTTAATGCAAGTAGACTTTGAACTGCCTCCCTTCTGTGAAGACTTAGAACTTCCCTCCTTATGTGAAGGAGATTATTCTAAAAATATATAGATAGTATTCATAGTTCTTCTGCATCGAAAGATAGGAGAATGTGTGTGTTTTTGGTGTTTATTTTTTTCAATTTTTTTTATCTTCGAAAGAAGCTCTGAAAAGTTCCTAGCAAACCACCAGAATTAAAAAGACTGTCTTTTCCTGAAAGGATTTCAGGATTTACCTGGAATTGTCGTGAAGCATTCTCTGTTAGTTCCTTTCTTTACTTGCACTGTGAGAGTCTAATAGCTCCAGTAACAAACTACGTGGATGCACTGTTGAACTCCTTTCCTGTTAAAATATTCCACTGCTTCATTTTTTGTCACATAGCACACAGTATTGCATTTGTCACAGACGTACTGAGATGATACTCCAGGAGCTGCATATCCTGCTATTAATGCTAAACAAACTTCATGGCAGAAGACAGCAGAATAATGAAAAGAGAAATACAAGTAAACTCTGAGCTGGGCGCCTTTGTGGTGAAAAAAAAGTAATTGCACAGATTTGGATGACTTCTTCATTATCTTCTCCTCCTCCATTGCAGTATCATGTATCATGCAAGTGTTTTCCTAACCAGCAGCTGTCCAGAAATCTTTCATCTAGTTCAGGGTGTTTACATTATATATGTTGCTCCTTGTGTTTATGTGCCTCTGTATTTAGCACCTGCATGGATTTATTGTACAGTCATATAGGAGAATGGTCTTTAAAAATCTGGCTTGAAATTCCAAAAAAATATACCTAATGCAGTTTATGCTGAATGCTTGGTTAGACAGACTGTGGTACCAGCTTCTAGTACTGACATCCAGCTGGAATTCTGCATACTGACTGCATTCTTGAATGTTTTTGTAGAAGAAAATAACCTGTTTTGAATTATTTGAAAACTGAAAAACAGATCTAATAAAATAGTATTAGAAACAGTAGCAGATACTGTATAAACAAAGCTGCAGCTGAGATGAGTTTTCCTTTTTTATTTTTTTTCTATTTCTTCAACGTGATTGGCTTCTTGCTGATTTACATTCCTTTTAAAGGCAATGCAGTTTATGAAACAATTTGGTTTTGAAGATTACAAAAGGATATGTGGAAAAACATATTCGTAATGGAAATGCTTGAGCAGAGCCTCAGTGCTGAAAAGTATGCTTAGCACATTGGTAAGGTGATCACAGAAATTGGCTTGCTGTAAGTGGGTTTGTAAAGTTTTTAAGGTGTTAATAGTTTAAGCAAAAATCTAAATTAGCCTTTACCTACTTACAATCAATCAATTTTCTGTTGGTGGAAATGACCATTTTTTCTAATGGTGAGATCTTGTGGCTAAATATATGTATTAACTAAGGATGCGTTCTCCCCTCATCCCTTTGTACCCCATGGAGTATGACTAAACAGCACAGTGATTAATAAATGCAACATCTGCTTTGTTAAGCTTTACTCTTTTACAAACAAAGCAGCATCTACTAATTTGAGGAATTCATACCAAATTATACTGGAAAAGATTTTAACAAGCAGTCATATACATTACTGCCACTTTCTAATTACTGTGTAATTTCTTTAGGAAATGAAGTGACTGTTTCAAGACAGAAACAAATCTAAATATTGTCCAACTGTGGATTTTAAAAATTGTACTTACAGTCTTTGTCAAATTGGTAGGTCAAAACTATGTTTGTAGTAATTCTCCAACAGAAAATAGCAGGCTAGAAAACCTTAGTTTGAGGTTGTCAGGCTCATGTATGGACTCTGCTGAGGATGGAAGCTTCATACTTGGTGTCTTCTCAGTATCAGGTCAGTGTTGTAATAGAATAAACTCTCAAAGAGCTTTTGCTACTCTTGTACAATGTGTGTTTGTAATACCAGATGCTCAACAAGCATTTGTTTTGAGATATTTATTTATTGTGTTATAAGGACCATGCATGTGTGAAAGACTCAGCAGTCTTTAATGTCACATGGTAGTTAGGTGAAGTGGCTATTTGCCTTGTTAATATATTTTGAAAAGTACATCATGCCTATAGCTAGAGCTGGCTCTAAAGTTCACAGGACTAATAGAATTTAGATGTAAGTTATCTGTGGAAAAAAACTGGCTGTCACTAACAGCATTTTGAAATGCTTTTGTTTACATTGTATTGCCTGTCAGGCTAGTGACTTGCTTGGGCATACCTTAACCTATAGAAACCTGTTGCTTTTGAACTGGAATGAATAAGTTTTTTTGTTGTTGTTTTAAAAGGACATTGTGTACTGCTCACTGAATTTTAGTTTGGGTAACAGATTTATGTAAAGAAAAAGGGGTTCATAGCTGAAGATGACTAACTTCTTGTTAGAAATGGATTTGTATACTATAGAAATTGTATGCTATATTAGGAAAACTATTCAACTACAAAAAAGTTCAATTTAAGAGACAACTGTTCATTAATCTCATGAGAACTGTGAACTTAAGACTGAGAAAGTAATCTTCTTAGAGAATCTTTACAGCATTATTGTTTTTTGAACTATGAAAATGACACTGTATCTAATCTGAAGAGCTAATAACGTTTTGAATTAACAATCTATTTTAAAGAACAAACTTTTGTTTTTATTATTAAATAAACAACTTCCTGAAACTTGTTTGTTTTTTGCAGTTATTACGAAGGGAGGCAAATGGATGAGCCCAGGCTCTTCTCAGTGCCATGTAGTGATAGGACAAGGAGCAGTGGCCTAAAACTTGAAAATAGGAAGTTCCATAAAGAGATACCTTCTTTATGGTAAGGGTGATGGAGCACTGGAACAGGCTGTCCAGAGAGGTGGTAGAGTCTCCTTCTCTGGAGATATTCAGAACCTGGCTGGTTGCCTCCCTGTGTGACCTGTTGTAGGGAACCTGCTTTAGCAGGAGGCTGGACTCTATGCTCTCCTGAGGTTGCTTCCAACCCCTGTGATTCTGTTCATGTATATCCCCTATAGAGTTAGAACATTTTTTTTTTTAGTTGCAAAGTGAATTTGATACATATATTTATGAGAATTTATACAAGTAGAAAATACACACTGAGATACTTGCATTCAACAGCTGAAATGTAATTTCAGTGCAGTTTTCTGCCACCTGTGGCCTTCTACTGCACTATGTGATAGGTAAGTGAGGTTGGTGATGGGAAATTAGATGCTAAAAACTTAGCCAACAGTGATTTGGCTGGAACTGCTGCTTTACATCTTGTCTTCTCTTGTAGCATAAAAATAAGTTGAAATATAAATATTAATGGAAAAACTCACTCCCTTGAGAACGTCATGGTAATCAGCTACAATTAGCTACTGCTGTGGAAGAAAACCCCAGTGACTATTTTATTAGTAAACTAAAAACATTCTGTGACAATTGAAATTACTGGGGAAGTATTCAGGGTGACAGTTCAACCTTTTTAGGAATGAACTTTTAAGAATTGTGGAAGTTTAAAAAAAAAAAACAACAAAGCAGACAAGCACCTCTGCAGCTCCTTTTTATAGTGGAGGAAGAAGAGAAAAGGAATTATAAAGATTATGTTGGACATAAGGCTGGAGATTGAGTGGAATTTGGTATTCTGCTTTAAGTTAGCTCTTCATTTCAGTTTCATGCCACTTCACATGTTACAAATTGTTCATCAGATGGAGATGAACTACTGCGTATCATTGCTGTAAAGTCTAAAGTAACACAGGAATCTTAACGTGAGTAAATGTTGTAGGGTAACAACGATTAAAAATACCCAACATTGCCTGTTGCAGAGTTATTTTGGAAAGGGAGACTTTCACATTCAGACACCAATTATTTTTGTCTCAGTCAGATTCAGCTACACAGTACGTATCACATTTGGAAATTTGTGGTCGAGTCTTTGCACACTATATAGGCTTGTTTTCACATATGCTCTGACTTTTCCAGACACATAATAATGGAAAGAGAATTTAAATGCAGCAGAAGTCCTATAAAATAATAAGGAATGGCAAAAGAATAGTAAGTGCATTTATGAAGCAGAAGAAATTCTAATACAAACAACTCAATTTCAAAAATCATCAGTTCCAAAATTTAATAAACAAAAGTAGTTTCTTTAACACACAATATACACATGCCCAGTGAATGCACCTGAAGGACGTTTATCTGGTTCTTAAATAGAATCAAACAAACACCTGTAAACTTAACTGACACTTCAGACTGTAACTGGACCACATTCGTTTTCAGTGATGGTGACAGTCTTTTTGGGTTCTTGAAACTCTGAAAGTTCACAACAGACACCAGGTCAGTTATCATGTTTATCACTTTTCAATGACAAAAGCGCACAGACAACACAGTACTTCTCAGACACTCGCTATTTGTGTAGACAGTCCTGAGTTAACAGTGTGTGTTCTGTTACTCCATGAGTCTTTTTTCAGTTGCATTTGTTATGTGGCCTCTCTTGCAGTACACTGCTATGAAAATTAAATTGCTCAGTAATTGTTTGAGATTTCTTAGTTTCATTGAAGCAATCTGGTTCTTATTAAATAACTTCTTAACTAAAACCTTTTATAAGCCACAACTTGAGTAAATCTGTTGTTATCTTTCTTGAAACAGAATTCTTACCTGCCTTATGAACTGAGTACAGACAAATTCTAGGTGTGCTTTCATAGTTACATGACCTATTAAGCCACTGCCACAAGGGGGAGATCTGATTCTGGCACTCATATTTTCCACTGTCCAGACTCCTAATCCTGCAAAATCACTGGTTCTTGCTAGATAAATGAGTTGATGCTGTCAACTAGAAAAGCACTACAGCTGGCCAAAGTAAGCAAAAAGAGAGCACAGCTAAAAGCCTGGCAAAAAAGGGAGCAAAATGTCTTCATTTCAGCAAGTGAGTAATTTTAACTCTTTGCTTGTAACTTCACTCTAAATGGAAAAACTAGAATTTAATGGAGTGCCAAGCTTTAAAATTTGGCAATGCTTTAAGATGAATGATAAAATAACTATTTTGAGTAGTTGAACCAAAGTTCCATATATCCAAAAGATTAATTTTGAACTGAGACCAAGTACAGGAATTTTCCATTAAACACAATTTTTAAAAGTGGAGAATAACTGAAAGCTGAAACTAGGTACTGTAAGTTGTACCACAAGCCATTCTAATGATTTGCAGATTGTGGTTTTGTTTTAGTTGTACAGATGCTACACAACAGTTTTGGATACTCACCATCTGTCAAATCTACCCCACTGTCCTCTGTATCAGGTAATGGAATTGAAATTCCCATTGCTTTCCGGATTCCGTATGTACTAACAATATCACCTGGGGTCACTTGTTGTGCCAGTTCCTTCAGATTGTTGGTTACTCTCTCCGCTAAAAAAAGGTAAGTGGATGTACTTGTAAGCTGCATGTACAAACACACACAAAATTGCTGACACGAGTCTTTCATCTTATAACCAGTATTTAATAACACAAATGCAAATGGACCAACTCTGGTAGCATGTTATCTTTTCTCAGTGAGCTGGCTACTTCAGATCATGTACACTGCAGCTGATCCTGCACAATTTAGTTTTACTTGCAGAACAGAAACCCTCTTTGCATAGTCCCAACATGGAAGGCTCCCATTACCTGTATAACAAACCAGCGAGACAAGAAGCTTTGCTAAGATAATTAAATAAATGATTGCTGTGAATTGCCATAATAAAAACAGACCAAACCTGGAATAAAACTATCCTTGCAATAAAAACTTGGTAAAATGTAAGCAACATCTGTTCAGAGACGTTGGAAAAATCTTGAAGTTAGGGGTGCTTGGCTATCATCTGCCCTGTGGCATTGAAAAAACTATAATTTTAAGATAGTTCAGTTACTTGTAGTTATTGTTTAAAATCTCCATCTGGCTTTCCACACAAAAAATGAAAAATAAATTCACATACTACATCAAACTGGACACAGATTCCACTCTGTTACACCTCTGCTTTAACATAAGTCAGGACTTCATCAATTATGCCAGAATGAGCAGAACAAGTACACTTACCCAAGTGCATCTCTCTGTAAGACGGACCCAGAAGACAAATCATATTAGGGGGTGGTTTTGTACTTAGTCGTTCATTTTGAGCATCCTGAAGTTCTCTCAGAAGCTTTGTTGTTTCATCAAGTTTCCTCTGGAAGATTTCAGCCTCTGTTTATAGAAGACAAGACCCTGACTAAGTAAAGAGGGTACCTTTACTTTATGATATAAAATGCACTAAGGCTGACTGTGCAGAGAGATTGAGAACATTAACTACCTTTCATTAGAAGTTAAAGATGCGTATCAAAATTGCAAGTACTGTGCTAACTTACCCTCAGAATCAAACTCTTCCATAGGCATGCCAAAGTTTGTAACAGCTTTTAGGGCTGTAAGTCTGTCATTATTAGCAGAATCCAATCTTGCAGCGATATCAATTTCCATTATCTAAAAAGAGCAAGTAATAATTCAGACAGATAATATTTAGATCAACCTCAAAACAGCAAAGTTGTTTTGGGTAAATCAGAATGCTAAGTTAATTAAAATTAGTCAGCTCCAAAAAAAAAAAAAAAAAGCAGAAATGATACCCTATGAAACATTCATTGCTCTCTAGCTACTCAGCCCATTATTATGTTTCATACTTAGATAGGAAGGAATTGTCATCTGCCAAAAACACTGGGGCCATGCACAAATGATGTGGTAAACTAACAGCAGCATCCCACTGGAAAAAAAAACAACCAGACTATAAACGTGAGCTCACTTAAGACTGAACTGATGAACAATCTGACAATAAAAGTTAAAACCAATGGGGAACTGATGAAGGCTTCAGCTCTTTCCCTATACTATAAGACTATCTCTCTGAACAAAATTTGTTGGGTGAAATGATTGTAATGCCTACTGCATGCCTACAGGGACAGAAGCTCCTTAAGAAACTATCCCAAAGGAAGCTATATATCACTGTCTTTTACACTTATTACAACCTTATGTTAAATCAAGTTTTTAGGGGGAACTGTACAATTACAGCTTCCAACCAGAAGACTGAGTGGTGGTCAAGCAACCACAAATATATATGCATTTTTTTCTAGTTTTCCTGACACAGTCAAATTTATGTAAGACTGACTTTTGCAATATTCTTGTGCTCTAGATGCCTATGCTGATTTAACAGAGTTGTTAGTTAGGATAGTATGGTTAGGTTGTGGTCAGACTCAATGATCTTTAAGGTCTTTTCCAACCTGAGCAATTCTATGACTCTATGCATTTGTCAGAACTGACACAGAGCGTATTTCCATGCAAAGTTTCAGTGTTGCTTTGTAAGCTGCAGGGGTTTTGGCTGTTGGGATAAGTGAGGTATTCGACGTGCGTTTCTTAGAGCAGCTTTCAGATATAAAAATTTTACCCTTACCTCTTTTAATGCATCACTTCTTTCATGAGGCCCTTCATCTTCCTCCAGGGGCTGAATACAGAAAGGATTTTTAAAGCAGGCATTAAAACTAATCTTTTCCTTAAGGTCAAAGTGAACCTTACAATGTGGTGGTTTTAATCTGAGGTAAATGATGCAAGCTCTCTCTGTAAAACCAAGTTACAAAGCAGCTGTTTTTAAACAGCTTTTTTCAGATACCAATATTTACCAAAATATATTATATAGTACACATTTTACTACTCTTCACAAACATCCACATGTTTTTCCCCAGTGATATCACTGGGGAAGGAAAAAAAGAGCAGCAGGCTGAAACATATTGTTTCAATACATAACTGCATTTCTCTTAATATTTGCAACAACAGTGATTGAACCCTGTAAGCCAATGGCACTATCGAGTACAACAGAAGTGATAAACTTGTAATGCAAAGCAAAAGTCTGAACTGGAGGCTGGGGGTCTGATCGTTGCTCTGTGAGATGTTCCCAGAATTAGTTTCACTTACATACAAATCATTACTAAAAACCTATTATTTGTTTATCAGCAGAGCATCCATTCAAGTCAGAGTAAGCTAGAGCAATAGTTAGGGGTAACTACTTTCTGGAGATACACAACTAATTGATGATTTATGAATTCAGTCCCATATCTTGCTCACCAAATCAGTCCCTTTGATTCCAGTCTTGTTTGGCACACGTGGATACTGAAGTCTCACAAGTTGTTTACTATTTTTCCATAGCCCATATTTGAGTTTAAAAGCACTGCACTAACTAATGGGAAAAATTAATTAATATTCTCTTAAAATAAGCAGTGGTGCTAGCAGTGTGCTAAACTTCTCATGGAAACAAACAAAAACCAGTGATCACCTTGTCTCTAAGCTGAGCACTGCTGTTTTCTTACTAACAGTAATAGGCACAAATAGAAAGGATGGACAAAGGCTATGAGACTCTGGCTCCATCTACAATATTCAATTTTCACATTTCTCTAATTAACAAACTATCATAATATCTTTCTAGAAAACCTATTTGCTGGAGACAGGTGTCTTCATTTTCAAATTTCACCATTAAAAAGGGAGCCCCTTACTAGGATCAGCGTCATCTTTTTCTAGCTTGTGCACCAGGAGTAACGACTAGAAAACTCACAAGTTCACCCTTACCGTTTCTAGTTCTCTGAGAGATCTTGAATGTCCTCCTTTAGTTAGAACATCAAGCAAGCTATCAGCCATTAAGAAAGGATAATCTTGCGATTTCATCAAAAATTCATGAATACTAGAAGATAAAGATAGTTAAGAACAACTGCTTCTGTATCAAACATTCAAGAGAAAAAAGTTTTGTTAGGTAAAGGCTAACCAATGCCTACCGCATGGGAAACACAAAAAGTAGCACAGAATTTAATTTAACTGGCTTGTTTTTTTTTTTTTTTTGTTTGTATTGCCTAGAGCTGTTGTAGCCTAGGAACACTTTCAGATTCAAGAACTGAAAAACAAAAATCTGCATCTTCAGGCAGCTGTATTAAACTGAAAGCAAACTTGTACAGCATAGCAGAAGTGCTAAGTTGTGGCCTGAAGCAATGATTGAGCACCTGGTGGGAAGGCAGGGCCAACCCAGGGAAGCTCAGGTGCATGCAATGTACCTGAGTGACTGGAAGGGGTGAAGCCAGGATTCACCCCTTCCCAGATCTCATTTAAGGGTTGGCAGTGGAGGTGAGGGCATCTCACTGGAGATCTCTGTATACCTGAGGCCTTCTAAAGGTAAGCAGATTCTTTTCTTTGTTTCTGTGCCCATGGCTGCTGTATTTGAGCAAACCCTCTCTCAGAGTAGCCTAGGACTTTGCTGTCCTGCTGTCACTGCTGTGCTTTCCATCGCATTACAGACATTTAATGTTTGCACTGTAGTTAAGTACTCCCATGTTTCATGCAAATGTATATCACTGTATTCTATCTCTGAGTTCTCATAACAGAAGGACTTTGACATCTTTACAATCAACGGTGAAGGAAACAATGGGAATTTGTTGTTGTAGCAAATAATGTGAAAATCAAGCAGTGTGTGCTATTCAACAATGAAATTGGCAAGTACTGTTTCTGTACTCAGATCTCCCACTGCAAACACAGAAGTGTGGTGAGCAGTTGGTATTAAGAAAGACTGCTTTTTAGTAAGGCAGTAGTGAAGTTCTTTAACATTAAAACAAAAATCCAATCAACGCATTTCTGTTTGAGTTTTATACATATATATATATATACACATACATACATATTAAAAAATTGTTATGCTGTACATTCTTATGTATCAGTAGCATCAAAATCCCCTGGTCCTTCCTTGTTTCACACTGCATGCAAACTCCTTTATTAAATAAGGGGATTAGACATTTCTTAAAACTACCAAACAAAAAAGCAGTAGCTGTAAGACATGACACAGTGACATCATTCAGCAGTACAGGCACAGTCCATACTGCACCAATTTGCATGTTGTTTCCATACATGACCACTGTAATGCATGCTCTAGCTGTTTGATTACCTGAATGATCCCTGATTAGAGTCCTCCCCATAGGTTGAATAGATTAAGTCAGAATCTTCTTTGCTGATGTTGGCAAATGTAGAATCATATGTTGGAGCATACGAACTGTAGGGTCCATAGTTCAAGTATGTCACTAATAAATAACAACAGTACTAATTATTACCTCTGGTATGCACATATTAGATAAAAGTGAGATGAGGTTGTCAAATAATCCCTCAGAAGAAACTAAGAACGTATTTCTTAAGAAAACAAGTATTCATAGAATACCATCTTTTCACCCTGCAAAATTTTTTTAATAATGCCTATTTGTAAATGCATATTTATTTACAGATGTTCTATTAACAATATTGTATGCCTTAACCCAATATGAAAATTCAGTCTGGTGCTGATAACAGGTTCTCAGGTTCCCCTCTATGCTCCTTCAAAGCTAGCAGAAACCCCTGCATCTCTCTGGTATTGCTTCTCTTCTCAATCTAGATCAATCTTCTATTGAATATGCTTCCAATTTTGTATGTGTAAATTAAGCTAGATTTTGTGATGTGCTCTTTAGACGTGCCATAAATACATGCAAAGATGGACTTTATTGTTTAAAAAAAAAACAAAAAATCCAAACTGAGTACTACTAATGAGATCAACATATTTTGTTTATATAACAAGGAAGATTTATAGTGTTTTGAAAATAAATAAATCAATCAGCACTTGCCTGGAGTAACCTTGTTTCTTTTATCTTCTTTGAACCCTTGTAATGTATTAACTCCTGACTGAAGTCTTCCTGCTGTCATACCCAGCTTCACAGGGCAGTAACCTGGTTCTACAATAGCATGCAATCAAAATACAAGACTAATAAGGCACTGTTAAGCGACACAAGAAGATGTCCAAACTTATTAAATACTTCCATCCTGTTTAGTCTGAAATTTCTGGCTACAACTCAGGGCATTGTTCTTCAATTGCTTCATATTAAAGACTGCACGTAGTTTTAAGTATGAATTCAAACCCAAGATAAAGCACTGGTTTAAGTGGTAACACTGGTTAAGGATTAGTTTTCTTCCTTCCTGCCTCCCCTAACAAAAGCTGCACTGTCTTGTTGAGGTTTTCTACTGCATAAATAAGAGGAATTGAGAAGTTTTCAGAATAGTTTCTGTCTAATGTAGACAGCTCAATTCTGCAGTACAGTGACCAGTTAAATAATTGAGTACCTGCATTCTAGCTAGTGACACTACACGGATGGCAGTGATGAGACAAAGTCATTTGGAACTCAGACAATTCCCAATTCTAGGGAGTCTGTGACCCTTTGGGTCAGACTGCACTCTGTACTTGATCCTGACTTATGGAGAGTCTGGTGTACCCTAACATATGGCTGGTAGTTCCTTCTCTCATGGCAAAAGCTCTCTTGCATCTTCCCCAAACTACTCATGCAAAATGGAAAACGATTGGCCACTGATGGTTCCCTCCAGCTGCTCCTTGATGCAGCCCCAGTTGCCTCCACCAGCTGCATCTTCTTAAATTCAGACTATCAGAGTATTAAGAACTATAGGTATTTGCCCATCTACACCAGCAGAACACTTTAGTGTCATTTGTTACTTGAACCATGCTGACTTACCTCCTGCAGTAAGATCAACTGGATTAAGAAGGCCCAGAGTTGTTGTACCATCTGGCTTTCTTCTTTCAAATTCACACTGAAATAAAATCATAATTTATGTCACCAGATGAAATTCACAGTCCTTACATTTATAGAAACAGCTAATGAAAGTTGTCTTATCCATAGAAATTAAGATGGATTTGGAAAGATCAGTCAGACTTAGAAATGAATACTGCTTTTTTTTTTTTTTTTGTAAAAAAAAAGCCTTTCCCTGGATAACAGTTACTGATCCAGGCACGAGGGATAAAGAAATTACAATAAATAATTACATTTATATAAAAGGCAAGTAATAAGATATGTAACTCACACTTGGTAGAAACAGGCCCCATTCTACCAAACTGGATTCCTTCTCCTTTGCTCAGATATGTGGTTGCTTCAGACTAGGAGGTTTTTTTTCTTGAAATTCCTAGCATTCATCCTCCTCTATTACTTTTATCTAAGAATTCTGAAAATGTAAGATGAACTTGCTCTGCTGATGATATTCAGCATGCATTTGACTGATACTCTTCCTGCCTCCTGCCTTTACACTGACATTATCAGTCATGTGTAAAATGATATAAGCTGTACTAAGAGCATGCCTTGAGTTTCAGTGATGCTACCTAAGCCCAGTTCAGGAAAAAAAGTGATTTACCTGGCTGTTTGCAAGTCGTCTTGTTAACTTTCCTCCAGATTCTCTAACAATACGATCAATCTGCTCTTGTTCCCTTTCCAAGCTATTGATTCTTAATTTGTCTTCAAGTAGATCTTTGTCCTTCCTATGAATAAAACCAATATATCTTAGTTAATAGCTTTAACAGACACAAATAGCTAAGTATCAGGAACAGGGCATTCGGTAATTTCTTTTTGCAAACTGCTTTTGTAGACAGCTCCCCCTCAATTAAAAAAAAAATAATGCATTGAATAGGACTATTTAATAAAGAAGGAGAAAATGTGATAGACTTAAACCCATGAATGCTTTATGATAGTGATTGTAAAAGAATCTGTTTAGCTTAATTCAACCATACAAACGGACGTAGTTTGGCATGTCAAAATTTACATCATTACTCTGACAAAACAAACTAGGATGTTTTTGGTAAAAATTAAATGTTTCATGCTCTGTATTAAGTACCTATGCTCTCAAAACTTGGAAAATGAAGTTCCTAGTATTTCTGAACATCAAAAGGAATGTTTCTAGGCATTAAAATTTAATTAGAAAGTAAATATTCAGTAGCTACACATTTGTAAGTATTATGCAAAAAATAGTGATTGGAACTTGAAATTGGCTGAAGAGTCATTTGTAAGGAGATATTTAAAAGGTCACGTTTGCAAGTTTTCTTCACAATAGTACTATTTACATGAAACAGACACTAAAACTAATAATAACTGTTAATAATAACAGAAAATAACTGAAATGGAGTTGCTGAGCAGTAAAAGATTATCCCCATGAAACATGATGATATCATATAAAAGACTTCCAAATATACTTATTTTGGTATTTTGACTTTACATAAATGTTACTCCCTTGAGATGAAGGACTGTTAGGGTATATCCAGTACCAAAGAAAACCACACCTCCAAATCCCCAGTAAGTCAGCTTATTTCAGTGGCATTAAACGGGTGCATCTTCTAAACATTAATGAGACAATACTTCACTTTTTGTGTTCCTTGTTAGGTGTTTTGAAAGCTTTGGTATCACCGTCCACAGGTTCTCCTTTGTCTTTTCCAGAACCACTTTCATCTTCTCCACTTAGCTGCAGTTCTACCTTGTCCTTCTGTTTCCTCGTCTTCTGCAGATCTGCCATGAATTCTATACTTTGTTTCAGGCTCTGAATCCTCTCCTAAAAAACACAGTAGAATCCTTGTATCCTGCTTACTTTTCCTAACATAACCACAAAGAACAATTTAACTTTAGTTCTTTCTTATGCTTGCAAGTATAAAGGCAATTTAGAAAAATCAAATATTAAGTGCAAATAAGTTATCTGGTAATATCTCCTTCTCTGGAGATATTCAGGACCCATCTGGATGCCTACCTGTGCAGCCTGCTGTAGGGAGCCTGCTTTAGGGGGGTTGGACTCAGTGATCCCTAGAGGTCCCTTCCAACCCCTACAATTCTGTGATACAACTCTGTGAAAGCAAGTTTTTTTTTTTTCCCAATATTTTGTTTTGTAGTCCTTTATTACCTGGCTAAGTATCTTCATCCCTGAGTGCAGCAGTTTTTTTGCAGCTTTGTAGTAAATGGTGTCTGGTTTGTTGTATGTCATTGCATTAGTACACATCAATTTGAAGTTATCCTGTACAAACAATTTTGGAATGAAAGTTAAAGTTTTATAATATGCTGTATTCTAATCCTTGTTGCAAATGGTGCATCTGGAGCTTTAGCAAAAAATGATTTCAAAGAAAAGTTTTAATTAAAAGTTACTTGAAAGGGTAAATGGAAATAAGCATGTCAATCAGACTCAAGTCTCAAAACTAGCATGCCAGTAAACACCTTGAAAACATTCCTAGGTGTTCAGTATTGCTCCTAATTTTTAAAGTTTTGATGCAAGCCCTGTTAAATAAAACTACCCACCTCCCTGACAAATCAGCAGGCACTGATAGAGAAACACTGAAGCAATGTAGTTTTTCCTTGCTTTTTTTGCTTACAGAGAAGTGCAGCTGTTAATACTGACGAAGTTTTGACAAAATAAAAGCCAGTGAACTCATGATGTCTAATAACAGGCCAGTTTCTTTGCCTATATCCCTTTACTGCATAAAAATGTATAAGAAAATACAAGCATCTTCATTCACTGTTTTACAAAGTAGTAGTTGAAAGTATGACCCCAGTTCCCCCCCGACCCTGCACACACAGTACTTTCAGGGCCTTCGATCCACTAGACACTACAGCACAGGATTAAGTGCCTGCTGTGAACAGGACTGAGCTAATCTGGCCTTTGCTACTTGTGGTTCTACATCCCTAGATAAGCTAAGCAGCTAGGACTGAGGTGACAGGATGCCAACGATGAAGTAACTGACAGGCAAGTTAACCCTACTCCTCGTTTTTCTGGGAGGTCTGCTACAAATGCTAACATCTAAACTGATCTAAACTGACACACTGATGGACAAGCTGATATAATCCTGCATAAGAAATGAAGACGTCTATGTCATCTTGAAATACATATTCACAAACCAGAGGTATGCTGCTTCTCTTCCACAACTTAGCTGCTCACAAAAAAGTCAATAAGAAACATTTCCTCAGGCACAAGTATTGGTTCTTCTTGGCAACTTCATATTATCCTAAAATTGTAGAGCTCAACTAAATTGCACACAATCCATCTCTGTAGTCAAAATGAAATTCACAAAATTACCTTTAATTCTTCTATGGACTGGTACCCATTGTTCTTGATCTTCTCTTTCATAGTACTAAAATCCATTGGATTTTTAATGATCATGGAGTAGCCAGGGGCAATAAAATCAGTCACAGGAAATGAAAAGAAAGAACTTGGATCTTTTCTGTTAAGATATGAAAGGACATTTTTATGTTTCAACTTTATAACAAAGAACATATTGAGCTCAAAGTTAAATAGAAAGGAATAGACTAAGTTGAAAAAGAATCAAATACATGAAGCCAGAAATGGCTTTTGTCAGCACAGTCTTTCACTTCTGAAGGCTGGAAAGCAAACCCAGATACCAGAAAAGTGCTACAACATTATCTTAGAAGTTAGTTCTACATTTTGGTAACTATCCCCAAGAAGATTAAAAAGAAAAATACAAATAACATGCTTTTGAGGTTTTTCTCTTCACATTTTTTTTAAATTAAAATTAGGTCAACATAGAACAAAGGGAATTAATGTGATAAAAATGTATACTTGTCATTCATTAACTAGCTTGCTTACTTTAAAATTAATGGAAGAGAATGAAAGCTAAAATAGCAGATGTATTCAGAGTTATGTTCATTTTCAGGTTACACAATTTTAATAGCTTATTTAAAATTAAACATTCCCTGGTATTCTCTCCTTGGGATAAAGCTAGATTGATAAATTGGTATGAATTTCTCTTCCAGAACTGCTGATTTTTTTTTTATTTTTTTTTTTCCCTGAATTCTGTAGTTTCAGGCTGGCCTCCCACGCCAATGTTGCTGAATTCCTCACTGTTGCTACATGCTTGTGAAACCACTGCTGTTTCAGGCCTTTTCCTGTGGCTTAGTTATAACTTATGGATTTTCACTCCTAGCTGCAAAGTGTGTGTAGACACACATTTTGATAGTATGCTGTCAGTTTCCCAAACCTGATAGCAGATGTCTCCCAAACAACATTTTGAGCTTAATCTGGTAAAATAAGGTAAAGGTCTTTCAACCATTATAAGATGGGTGGTCGGGTGCTGGAATGGGCTGCCCAGGGAGGTGGTGGAGGTGCTCAAGGAACGTTTGGATGTTGTGTTGAGGGACATGGTTTAATGAGAACCATTGGTGATGGGTGAATGGATGGACTGGATGATCCTGTGGGTCTTTTCCAACCTTAGTGATTCTATGATTCTAAGACGTACACTCCTTCTTGACTTTAAGAAGGAATACCTTGAACCAGAGCTTACTTGAAGGAACTGCGGTTTCTGCAAATCTGATTATTTTAGTCAAAATATATTTGGTTAATAAGACATGATCTACATTTATGAGTATGTACTTCCTTTTTATAGTAAAAACTGGAGAACTCAAGGGAAATAAATGAAATTACAGTTTTGGTAACTTTATTCCAACCTCATGGGGGAAAAAAAGTTCTTATACAGGAAATATACCTAATTTTCCAGCAATATGACATGTTTTATCCAGTAATATTAGAACTAAACTTCTTATAGTCCTTTTCCCTTAATGTACATTATATTCATTTTGCAGCTCTGAAAGCCTGTAGCATGGATACTTACCTCTGTAGCTGTCTCATGAGTTGATTCAGAGCTTCCTGAAGTGGTGTCTGCTCCACCTCTGGACAAAAAAGAATTGTGGATAGGAAGGATATGAAATGGAACTGAGTACAAGTGATACTAAACTTCCAAGATATCAGTCATCAACCAAACAAGTTGAGAATTCAGCCTAAACAAATACAGTGGTAAAAAACAGGATACGTAGATATACTTTTCTCATTGGCCTCAACATTCTGCACATACTGACAGGGGCAGTAGATACTACTTTTTCAAAACAAGTATATGGTAACAGTTTCAATACTTGTAGGAGCTGGAGAAGAACATGGGGATGACAAAAAATGTCAAGATACTTGTTATACAAACAAAAATAAAAAGCAAGTCAGTAGAAGAAAATTAGAATTCACTAAAGATTTGTTTTTCTACCTTCCTGTTTTGATAAAGTACTCGTTAATGGTTTCTCTGGTGATAATTCCAATCTGATAGGGGTCTGACATTTCAGTTCCTGCTCTCCCTCACTGTCTGGGTGTTCTCGATCGCGTTTCCTTTTATCCTCCTAGAAGGAGAAAGATTGCTATAAAACCTCAGGACCTGCAAAACCAGCATTATGACTGCACGTAACGCTCCAGATTTTTCAAAACCACCTTGCACAATGAAAACAAAACAAACCACAAAAGAGCACACCATGTTTACAAGGCTTTAGAAACACCGCATTTTTAGTGTACTGTCTCCATCTACTGGTTGATACAAAAATTCAGCTTACAATGCAATCTATCATTGAATGTTTATTTTTTAAACATGACCGCTTTAGAGCATGGCAGGAATGCCTCCACACAGAGAATTGTCTCCAGTGATACCTCTGGGATGATTCTGAAGTTTATACAAAAATTAATAAGAGCGAGGTAGGAAGTTTAAAATGAGATTGTAACCATTTCCTTCAAATAAATGTGTTATAAATACTGATCAGGTAAAGAATTCCGAAAAGAAATTACATTTTCTTCTTAATTAAGAACTAGTGATGTCTTAATTCTATTTTATATAAATCGATTTATTTAGACACAGCATTTATTTCTGCTTTTAACTTTCTGTATGTTTACACTAGCCAGTATTTGAGATGACTTTTCACAACTTTTTCTATAAAATCTGAAACAAAGGAATTGGCAAAACCAAAACACAGAGTCTGAATGCATTCCAGGATAAGAAGGCAATCAGAGGGCTGGAGCACATCTCCTGTGAAGAAAGGCTGAGGGAGCTGGCCTTGTTTAGCTTAGAGAAGGTTCCAGGAAGACCTCATTGTGGCCTTCCAGTGCTTGAAGGGAACTAACAAGCAGCAGGGGAACTGACTTTTTACACGGTCTGATAGTGACAGGACAAAGGGGAATGGCTTTAAACTAAAAGAGGGGAGATTTAGGTTAGATGTTAGGAAAAGAGTATTTACTCAGAGAGCGGTGAGGGGTTGGAACGAAATGATCTTTAGAGTCCCTTCCAACCAAAAACATTCTATGATTAATGGTACAAGTTACAGGTAGGCATATCTGCTCGCTGTCTGTAACAGTGGCAGGCAAAGCTGAAGGTATTTTTCTGTGGTGGTGTTGGTTTTTTTTGTTTTTTTTGCTAATATACAAAAGCACGAACGCATACCTTAACTTTTCTCTTTCTTTTCTCCTTCTCTTCTCCAGGAACTTGTTTTTCTCCCTTCTTCCTCTTTTTCCTTTTTCTGTCCTTGTGCTTTTCATGCTCGGATTTGTCCTCGTACAGACTGGCATCGAGCCCCGCGCTTCCCGTGGACAGTTCGGCAACTTCGTTCCCTCCAACTTTCAGCACCAGCTTCAGCGGCTTCTCTACGTACTCTTTAACGCAGCAGAGAAACGAGGCGTCGAACGGCGCACACAACGCGTTCTACCCGCGCCACGGCCGTCCCCCGCCCCGCAGACCGGTGACCCGCCCCCCCCGGGCCGTATCTCCCCTCCCCGCCCGGCCGCGGGTGCCCAGGCCCTGCCGCGGCTCTCCGCCCGGCCCCGGCTTCCTCTGCCTTTGAGCCGGGCCCGGCCGGCGGGCCCGGGGCTCGGCGCCCGCTTCACGATCCCCTTCCCCACCCACCCTCGTAGGGATGCTTGTCCGACTTGTGCTTCTTGTGTTTCTTCCCCATGGCGGCCCGACGGACCGCGCTGCCGGGCGGATACCGGCCCCGCCGAGCAGCGGCGCCGCGCGCACCCGGCACGAAGGGCGGCGCGGGAGCCGCGGCCCTGCAGCGCCCCCCGGCGGCTCGGCGGAGCTCCCGCAAATCCTGGCGCAGGCGCAGAAGCGGGCGGGGCAGTCGAGCGGCGGGGCCGCGCGCCGCGGGGGGGCGGCGTTCGCTCGGAGCGGCTGTGCCTGCTCGGCCTCGTTCCACGGCGGTGCTGCCGTCTCAGCCTCCGCTGCCGTCCGTCCCTTCTGTTCACGCTCCCGTGGGCGCCCCTCTCCTCGCGGCGCCTCTCCACGTCCGCGCCGCGCTCAACGCGGGCTGGAAGTCCTGCCCGGAGCACCGCCCGCTCCGCTGGCCGTGTCCGCCCGGTGCTGTCCCTCACGTCCCGGGGTATCGCGGCGCCCCAGGCACACGGCGGGATTCGGCCCCGCTGCTCCTGCAAACCGGCCGTGCGGAGCCCGCAGCGGGACGGGGCTCCCAGAGGTGGCAGCGCTTTGCTCCTCGGTTGCACGTTCACGGGGACGCATCTGTGTTGTCCGTTGCAAGTTAGAAATAGCAAGTTACAAATAGCTCTGGGTATAAATGAAGGCCTCCTAGGAGCTCTCTTAAAGCCAGCGGTTACTGCTTCGGCAGCGCTGCCTCTGCCCGGCCCTGCCGTGAGGCCTGCTGAAATGTCGCCCTGTGCAGCTGAGTGCAGGAAGGCACCGCGTCCATCCCGGGAGAAGCTGTAGTTTTAATCCCACCCAGTGATGCTGTAAGTACTCCCTGGATTTGTTGAAACGCCTGTGATATTCTATAGCCAAAGAAAATAACGGTTAGACGTTAATTAGGAACGTAGGATACACATATCTGTACACCTCCGTGAGGATGATTTTTAAAGTTTGAGGAACGTGGTCTGTGTCCGTCGCTGGGAACGCGGCGAGACGCGATGCTGTGTGTTCTGCTGAGCTCCGCTGCGCTTTGGTGCGGTGCTCCCAGGGCTTGTGGTGCTCTGGAACAAAACGCTGCTCTCCCGCTTGATCTCACTGCAGTAGTTTGAAATTCAGCTGTAACACACGCAGTTGTTTTTCTAATTCACATCTGGGTCCTCTAATGCTCTTATTACACGTGCAGCGAATGCTGTTAAGAGTGCTCTGGTGAGATGCAGAGGGTTTTTGCTTGGGACGTGGCCACATGAAGAAACTACGATGTAAATGTTTAAAGGACATGTTTTATATAATGAAAAAAAGTTGCTATATCCTCTGTTCCCACAAGAAGACTGGCAGATTTCCTAAGTTTTTTTCTTTTAAGTGTGCATGGCAAGACTATTTGTTCAATTTCTTTTCTGAAATTTACTGACTAATCTTACCCTGAATCTAACAACATTCAAGAGAGCTATATGCACAGGAGCAAGGTGAGATGGTGCCAGCACTGACAGCTGCCTTTTCCAGGTGTCTCATTCAACACCATCTCCCTGATCAGAGAAAGATACTTTTTTTCTTAACTGGTAGTAGAGGCACTTGTTCCTAGAATATACACCATTTTACTCTCCTTTTCTCTAGCTTGTCTTTCCGTTTGAAAGATACATGTTTCTTTCCTCTCAAAAATATGAATATAGCCCTTCAAAGTACAGTTCAACTGTCAGAAGCTTGTAGAGAAAAGATTCTGCTTTTCTGTGCATTGTTCTAGTATTGCTGTTGGGCTTTGTCACTTCCTTAAGAACTGAGCAAATATGTATTTCTGCCTACTCATCTGGCTCTGCTGTTACCTGTAGGACCAGAGGAAAGCTAAAGGAATCTTATCCCTGCATCCTCTTCCAATACACGATGTCTTCCCAGCCCTGATCAGGGGAAGCCCTTGCAATTTCAGGGGGACTCAGTGGTGCAAAGGGCAAAGATAGAAGTACTGAATGTCCTTTAAATCAACACAGAGGCTGGATGCAACTTGGAACATTTAAGTGTTTGAGTAGTGGTTTGTTATATTGCCATAAAGGAGAAATATATAATGTGGCCTCCTATTTTCTAGCAATGATTTTCAAATGAGATGGTATTTTTCAACAACAAATCTCACTGTTTCCAAAGTACACCTTCACTCAGTAAAAAATGAACAAACAAACAAACTAGTAGTTTCCAGAGCTGACTTAAGGTAGGTAACACCTCACTGGTACAATGTGTGCCTGGTGCCTTCACAGAAGAGCAGTTAGTGTAGACAAAGCTACAAACTTCAGAAGATAGAATATTCTTTCAGACTTACTGCAAGTCTAACACTATTTAACGTTTTGCCAAATTCACGTCTGCTGGAGTTGTGTACTTACCTGTAACTTTAAACTTTAATTAAAACTTATTACATATTGTTATTCTGGACAAAGACTTGGAAGATTCCCTGGAATCTTAGAAATCAAATATTCAAATAGTCTAAATTTAAAGTCTGATGATTTGTTTGGAAATCCAACTCTCTAACTTAAGAGTTCATCTATTGGATTCTATTTCATAATTCTGTGACTTCTAGTACACATATTCTAGGCATTAAAATTTGGACCTAGTTTGGCATGTAGTGTTCATTCTGAATGTCTGGTGTGTGTGCTGCTCTGCTGTTTCAAATTGTTATGGCTGACTGGCAAAGAAAGAACACTGCTTTCTATGAAAAGTAATCCTATGTCATTTACTCACAGTAACAAGCAAATATCTTTGTAGCCAGGATTCTTAAGGCTGTAATAATCATTACAATGAGGTTGTTGTTCATTTGTAATTAGGGAAGATTACCTTATTTTCCACCTTATTTTCCTGGTATTGATCATGCTGTTGGACTTCTGTGTATTTGCAAAAGTCTGTTTTCTAAGTATTCTCCCTGTGATCTTGCCCAACTCCTCTGGGGACTTCTTTTAATACATTTCTTTTTAAGTGATTTTATGCACCGGAAAGAATACCTCATTGCATAACTTGGAACTTCAGTAGCAAAATTTTTGCTAGACGTGCATGAAATTGCATGAAATTTAAACATTTGTGACCTTGGTTGTTGGCTGGCACTGCTGCGTTGGTTGGGAAAATTAAACAGGATTCAGCTAGATCCTCCTAGCTTCCTTCATGACTGGGGGTGAGTGGAACACGTATCCCTCATCCGCACTTCTCCCTGGTCATGTAGATTTCAAAGGATTTGGAACAAAAATATGGAGAAGCCTGAATAGCAAACTAGTTGGAACTGGAGGCTGCCTCAGCAGTTGCAGCAGGTAATTTGCTTAGGGAGCAGAGGTGTCACTGGCAGAGGCACATGTATTACCCAGACAAAGGTGAAGATGAAGTTTTAAGTTGATGCTAAGAGGGAAAAATGATAGTCAAATTTACACTTGTATTAGATTTGTACTTATAAGCTGTAATGGGAGAAAATTTGCTGCAAGTATCTAGCAGGATCTCTCAGGTAATGCTCTGGTTTGTTCATTTATCTTAGGTAGCGATTCAGCTTTTTAATTTTATTTTGTTTTCTGTACTGGTATCTCTAGAGGAAACATGGTAAATAGAAGAAGATATGAAGAGCATTAGGCCACATGGTGGTGTAATATGCAAAGGAAAATGAACCAGTCATGTCAAAGTTAATGAAATGTACACAATAGACACGTTTATTTGCTTATTAAAGCAGTAGTGGTTATCTGATTAAACCCAGTACATGATATTACTACGAGCAGTCACTTTGTAAGACCTTTAATTTCAAGCAGGGAGCCAAGCAAGTACATTTGCTGGGGTCAGCTGTGGTTTTAGCTCAGCTTTCTCTGAAGGTGCCTGCGTTCAAGTTACTGGTGTTCTGTTTCCTAGTTCAGGAATCCTGAAAAGGTTCACAGTGGAAAAGTTAAAATTTGAAAATGGAGATGACCACATCTGCAACCCCCATGGTGTATGTCTCCCAGTAAAAGCCTTGGTTTTCATCTGCTGCGGGCTGGGCATCTCTCACATTCACAGGTGCAGCAGCTTCTCTTCAGCTCTGTGTTTTGTGTGTGACAGAAGCCAGGGAGAAGCTGTGCCATTGAACTACTTGGGACGATACCTCAAACGGCAAGCTGTGGTGAGAGCAGGGCTGAGAGGTGCCAACAGTGTCTCCAGCACAGTGTGACTGCAGACACACACATCTGCAGCAGCGACAGCTGGGTTTGTGTGGCAGCACTGAAACACAGGCATGCTGGTACAGTGGGGATCTAAAGGGAGGTGATGGGGGGAAGGTTAGTTTGGTGGAGCCCGTTAGTTTTTCTCCATGCAACAAGGAGAATAAATTGTTCAGCCTTCTTTGCCTGTTTGTTCAAACCTCTTGTGCAAAATGTTTGAGGTCAGCTGGATGCCACACAGGTCTGCAGAGCACCGTGCAAACAGACAGAAATGTATGCTGTATGTGCTGGTCTTCATGTCAGGGACAAAAGTGAAGACAAAAGAGCGTAAGTCTAGTGCTGCTCTGCAGCCTTGAGCAGAAATGAAACACTTCTTTCAAGGTATTTTTCTGTTCTCTGAATATGGCTCTTGGAACAGCTGATGGCTCTTTTTGCGTTTTCACTAGACTGTTATGATGTTCTGTAACAAGACATAGATGTTTCTTTTATTAAATGCTTCTGTTTCCCTTAGTTTTACAACTTCATAAATATCTAAGGCTTCATTATTTTCCTGAGTTTTTTACTTAAAATTTTTGGTATAGGCAGTGAAGTGGGAATGTGAAGTAGTCATTGCTATTAATGCTCCCTAACTTTTGCTGTGTTTAAATTCCTTAAAATAATAAATAAATAAATAAATAAATAAATACACATCTCAACCTGTTCCATGCAGTGGAATACAGATCTGTATTCTAGTATTCTAAAGTAGAATACTTTAGGAAGTTGGGCTGGGATTGGAAGTTGACAGTAGCTGAAATGAAACGAAAACTATGAGAGATGTTTTCTGACTAGGCTGATGCACTGGATTGCTGTACAGATTTTAGTTCTTCCAAATTCTTTAATAATAATTAGTGTGATGTGGTATGGGAGGGAATATGGATGCAGTTGCTGAGAGAAACATGATTCCACCACTCCCTTTTTATGCTTCTCCTTATTATGCTGCTCTTTTATGGAGAGAGTTTGCCAAAAGAACTGTAGTAAATGACCAGTAAGTGATCCATTTTTTAAAAAATCACCTTTAAAAAAATAAAGAAAGAATTTGGTCCAGAGAGCAGGGGAAGGAATTAAAGGGTTTTATCATGTAACTGCTCAGATGTGGTCTGTTTGGATAGACACAAATTCCTTGTCATTGCTTATTAAGGTTGTTATGCCAAGTGTTTGTGCATGATTGTCTGACAAGAACTGGATGTGATCAATTCAAAATGGCCTTGTCAGCCTGCATGAAGGATTTGCTCAGAGATACAGGTGGATGTACATGTTTATGATTTATTCCGACATGTTGCTGCGTGGAGTACTTCTCCTAATTTTGTTATCTGATCACAATTAATGTTTTATTCATTCTTTCTGTTAATTTAAAACACGAAAACAACAATAAGGGTGCTTCTCATAGGATTTTCGTATCTCCTATTGAATGAAATCAGTCACCCCAGTGATGGAGCTGACTGCTGCAATGTGCTTTAGAGATCAGCCCTTCACTGCGGCCATTTCCTTCTTCCCCACTCTTGTAGAAGGCTAACTGAATTACAGCTTGCTGTAGGCCTGGGAGAAATACCAGATTGTGATCTTGGAACTGGAATGGACTTTTTGTGTACCTTTCTGTAAGCCCTTCTTTCTCTTCTGTTCTCTCCATGCCTCCAAAGGGGACTGCT